AGATTTTTACATCAACAGATAGCCAAGAGTCAGGTCTACCTACATGGTCAATTTCGTCTATGTCCATTTGAAAACGGCTTAAATATGCTCAAAATACTATGAAAATTTGAGGTGCTGGCCATAATTATCCCAAGTGACTCTATATATATTGTACTTATATATAAAATAAGAGTTCTGTATATCATAAAAGAACTAAAAAAGAAATTCATTATAGCCGTAACAGGGGGTCTTCTAATATGTCTTTTGCGTTATTCTCTCAAGAGGGGTCTTCTAATGTGTCAAGGACTTTAAATTGATTAAAACTATGTTTATTATCCACTGAAGAAGATTGAACTATCAATCGAAACGTTTGCAATAAATAAAGAAATAGTACGAAGAAAAAGTAATTAACTAAATATAAACGGATTGTGCCTGCTCTTAAGTTAAGTGTTCCTGCACAGTAAGCAATGCAACCTTGCAGTAAACGCTCAAAAAAAAGGATTATTTTGGACACTGGTGGAGCCATAAACATTCAGGAATTTTTCGAACGCGTGCACTGTGGTTAAATAAGATTTCCTTGTTGTATGAGAAAGTGCTACCGCCCATGATGCTGATTTCCAGCAGTCGACAGAAATCAGAACATTATTCACTCGTCGTGGAAAGATATATGTGTTCAGCCGTTGAATAAAAACTATGTTCCACCGAGATTAATGGCAGACGACGAATAAAGCGTAGGATCAGTAAACACTGAGAACGTTCCATATCAGAATATAAACAAATGGGTAATTACCAAATGAGACCACAATTTGTTTTTTTTGCCACAGATTAGCCCATATGAATGCACATGCGACGACTGGGAACAACTCAATCAATGCACCTTCTTGCGTATTCTGTGCTACATTCAAGAAATCTACGTCGCAGGTATGTTAGACGAAACGATTCTAATCTAGGAAAGGCTCAAAAACTTTTTTCAAACAATGATGGAAGGAAATCAAATATCTGAGCCACCCCAAGTCTAACCACTATAAAGATAGCGTTGAATTAGGAAGAGAAAAATTTTTTGTCCATTGTGATGCGTATAATAGTTTATGCTCGCTCGCTCGATCTGTTAGTCCTTTTGCTACACTTGTGTCACAGCAACAACAGAAAAATAAAAAATAAGATGGACTGATATTCACCACTTTGCAAAGTTAAGCAGAGTGCTAATAAACTACGAGATTGTTTTTCTATATCTTATGCGGAGCCATGAGATGACTGATTACTCACTTACTATCTATTCTTTTGCTATTTTGAAGTGTACCGAGGCACACTTATTATATTTCATAATGTATCAAAATATGTCTGCTATAACCGAAAGCTTTTAAGTTCTCTTTTTGTCCATCATGAACAAATTCATATAATTTCATACGCTAAAAACGTTCCGATTGCACTTATTCATGAAGAATACCTCTGTTTATGTATTTTTTCACTTTTATGTATTCCACTAGCAATATACTTTAACATTCATGAAGAAAAACATTCTTGATAAGAAACTTTCCTAGAATTGTTTGATAATGTATAACCGGATATCACCAATCGTCGTCCTATGATGTCTCATTATTCCAGCTTTTAGTCGAATATACAATGTTTCATGTGGAATTTGAAATGAATCTGAAATACGGAGAAATTATCTACAGTAACATAAAAAGGAAGAATCTAGAGAATACCGGTGATAATCATCCATACCGTCGCTTTGTATGATATCATGATTTTCATTTAGAAATTCAATGTTAACACTAATTGTCCCCGTGATGACTTTAACTTCTGCTATGCCATAATTCTGAATTAATTTTAAATAATGTGATGGTACATCGACTGTTTGTGTTAGACTATCACGTCCGAAATAAGAACAATTTGGTATTTTTGTACCATTCAGTAGCCATTCTGAACAATTAATCAAATTTTTGTACTGGTGTACTGTTCCGTTTGGTAGTATTGCACCATCAAATGCATCTGTAATTAGATCAATAGTTGATCCATTTAGATTTGCTTGTGTCATACGTACACAATCCATTTTTACTGCGGTGAAATCCATTTGTTCTAAAATACTAAAACTAAAATCTGTACCTCTCAATTGACAATCAATAAATTTAACATGTATTAAATGAGAATTTGAAAAATCAGTCCTCATCAGATCGCAACGAATGAATGTTGTATTAACTAAATAGGCATGATAAAAATCTGCTTCACGTAGAATAGTGTCAACAAATCGGGTGTTAAGCAATAACGACTGACGAAATATTGCACGACGAGCGTCCGAGTCTTTGAATAATGAATCAACTATGGAAGCCGAACGAAATAACGAATACGATAAATTGCTATCAATGTATAAAACGTCTAGCAGTGATGAACGACTAAAATCTGACCATTTGAGTTTGGCACGAACGAACGAAGCATTGAGAAAATCGGCACCGGTCAGTTTAATACCCGAAAGCATTTGTCTCGAACGTGAATGAAATGCTAAATTACTTAAATCTGCGCCATGCATATCCAGTGTTTGATTACTGCTAATTATTGTTTCACCTACATCAATCATTTCATTTGGAACAATCGGTGGCAGTTGACACTCACTTGGCGCAGAGGATGAAATTTGTTGATAATTGGCCAGTGCGCTTGAAACAATAATTGATGAGTCATATAAAAATTGTATCAGATATCTTTTTCGCTTTGGATCGATTTGTCGTAAAATCATTAGTGTTTTCGCACGAGCCATTATCAAGGAACCGAGATCATATACAATTAAACCATTTTTCAATAATAGATTTGATATATCTTGTAAATATGAATTAAATATTGTTGATTTTTCAATATCATCAGCTAATTGTAAATCTTTTTCACGATTATCATGAGCAATCTGTCGATCCAGTGCTGCTTTAATATTTGTTATTTGGATATCTTTCTCGCGATTTTCTTCAGCTATTTGTCGTTCGAGGGTTGCTTTGATATTAGCTATTTCGATGTCTTTTAGACGATTTTGTTCAGCTATTTGTCTTTCCAAAGCACCTGTTAAAAAGAAACAAAGAATAAACTTTGGGATAAATCAGAAAACTGTACTCATGTACACTTTTTTCTCGATGCCGTAACGACGCTCTCACATCATTTTACCGAGTTGTTCTAAAGTGCATGATACAGTAGTCTTTGACTCAATGATCCTATATACTGAACAGACAATGTGTGAAAGGGACTAACAAAGCAACTAACTAAAGAAATGCTAACAACAACAATACAATTTAGTGTGTCTTTAAAAGTCGACATTTGCCTCAATATCTGTTTCTAACACTTGCTCATCAAAAGATATATAGTTAAACAAATATTGCACTGTTCGTCTGCGCATTTTCTTCCTACGAAACGAGACAGGATCGGATCTTACCTAGATCTGTTTGGGTAGAGTTTAGCTTTGTTATATATCAAATAACTACGAATGGAACTCTTTTCTTGTCGTTCAGTTGTTTTCTCTCTCTATTGACCTGTTATACTTTCATTGTTTTCTTTTACAGATTTTTGGTCTCCAAATGAAAATACACCACGCCTAAAATAGCGTTTAGACGCTTTCAAACTGCTTATAAACGAAAAGTCCTAGTGCCTCATCAAAATTGCCGCGGGAATGCCACAAATCTCTCACGTCATTAAATCAAACGATCTTTTGCGCATTAAAAGATACAACTGACATGTCATTCGATACAGTTCGGTGCGCTGATTCTAAATACATCATTAGTTTTTAATGAAGATGCTTTTGGGGTAAGAAAAATCGATTTTACCTGGAAAATCAAGGTTTTTTGAAAAATCTATATCTTGGTCCTCAAGCATTCGAGTTTTAATGAGCTAACTAGTTTAGCAAAAATTAGGAAACCCACTTTACTAAACAGGCGTTTAAGAAAAGCTCTGAGCGTAGAAAGAAAGGTTATCGTTTTCGTAGGAAAGGAGTTAGAAGAAATTCTTTTTATAAACAGGTAGACCACGAACTCCACTTTCGGAATATGTATGATTTATTCCTTCACTCTTTCAACCTTCAGTAAAATGCGCATTTCTAAAAGATACATAAAATCGGACCTTTTTTCAGGGGCGAGATTTCTCAAGTAACTTAAGAAGTTCGAAAAAAATGTTCTGGATGAAAAAGTATATTGGACCTTATTCAAATCTCAAAAAAGATTTTAAGATTCCCAACTACCCCAGCGTCAAAAAAAATCTAGTATCGCCCGATTCATCTAGATTACTAGATTTTTGCTCGATTGTAATCGAAATTTTCTTTGTCGTATGAGTTGTCTACTCATACGATGATCCTGTTTAAATAGCAAAGACAAAGATTGCTTTACAAGGCAGAAAACTAGAAAATACTAAGGAATGTTTCTTAACCGGATATTTTCTGTTTCTTCTGTAACTTTAACATAACACGCGCGAATAAAGCCAACTTTCTAGTATAGAAGTTTTGAAGCATGTTCAACTTAATGAAGTACATAAATAGAGTTTAGACCAACCAAAAAATGGTTTCCTACGGAAGCGGATACAAACCTTTTACTACAAAACCTTTTTCTTCTCTTTTACCGTGATCGAAAAACCCAGTGCTCTCGATTGTCTTTTGGATAAGTCGAGAAAAAAAGAGCTAGAGATTTCGTGTCTCCACCATTGGAAAGAGAAGACTTGATTGCATCTTTTCATAACAGAAAAAATTTCAAGAATCTTTTCGAAAGCAGGCTGTTATGAGATCTTTGAAAAATCAGTTCATAGCTCAACAACTTCAAGTACTGCTATTGAGGTATCTATCTCGTTTCACACATACCCAAGCAAATACCACCTATGGGAAAGATCTAGATACATTTCGCCTGTAATCGGGTGATACACGACTAGTTGCCATCTAGATTACTAGTTGGAAAAGGGACTTTTAACTAGATGTGTCTGCAGGTGCATCTAGTAATACTTAAATCGACCGATTATCGGGCGATAAATCAATAGTTGCAACTAGAAAAAATCTGGTAATCGCCCAATTACTAGATTTCCACTGTCGTTACACAGTACTTACAATCGAGTAAAAATCTAGTAATCTAGATGAATCGGGCGATACTAGATTTTTTTTTGGGGTAGTTGGGAATCTTAAAAACAGATGATACATAGGCAATCAACTGTGCTAATCATCGCACCAACGTTTATTTTGTTCCTAAGCTTAATAAAACCTCGAACGACGATTCTTTTAGAAAATCCACTTTTTTCCCTATGTACATATAAAATGAAAAAGCTCAGAAGTCACTCATTTTTCATTGACACTACATGAACTTTTCGGGAAATGTTCAAAATAAGTCATAAATTATAGATGAAGTCGGGAAAACGCAATCTGAGCTATGCAATCGCATGCACCATTTGAAAGTTAAATTGTCAAACTTTTTTAGCGGTGGAAAACCTATTCCAAAAGTTTTTCAAGAGGTACACCATCTGCAGGTATTTTTTTTCATTTATTTTTTTCATTCGGATATCCCAACATTTTACTTTTCAAAACTGAAAAGTGCAAGGTTCTAGAACCTTTCTAGCAAAAGGTACTAAAAAATGATGAAGAACATTATATTTTGCAATAGATGGTAGAAAAATGTTTTCCAATTCTGAGAAACAAAGTAGTGGTAGTTTGCTAACCCATGTTTTGCGATACTCCTAGGTACACACTATATATGATAAGAAAAACCTAGGTGTTCACCTTTCTTCTCGGTCAAATTTTTTCGCAAAAGCGGTACCAATTTTATCAGAATGACTCATATATTCTCATCAGAGATACAAATCGATTCTGTTACAATGTACCTCTTTTAATCAATTAAAAAGTATCTCGTTTGAGAAACGAATATTATGGCAAGAAATTGCGTATCTCAAAAGAGATACACTTATAAATATGGAATCTCACATTGTTCTCTCACACGTTATCTCTCATTTCTATATTCCAAATAAAAATTAAATTATATATGCGGTAGAAGCAAATGAGATTATCTTAAGCGATAATTAGTATTTCGGGCACGATTTTCTTTAAACAATATGGCAGAAGCGCCTTTGTGAGTTAGGGTTCGTATAAAATCTATAATAATATTTCGAAGACTGACGGACCTGTCCGGAGGGTACGCGGTGACATATTTTCAGCGTCAATGTTTATTTTCTCACATTTGTGGGCAGGAGTAAAAGTAAGTTAAATGTCGCATTATTTATTACATCTGGATGGCTTCTATAAATTAGTGTAAAAGGCTTTGGATTATTACTTATCATTCAACTACTACAGCGTTTATACGGTTGGTAACGCGATGACCAAAAATGGAAGTTCTTTCCAGTGGCAATTGAAGAGTTTTCTCTGAATGTGGATGATATGGATGAGAGTTTCCAGTGGATGGTTTTTTAGCTATAACGTAGGGCTTTTGAAATATCCGATCGAAATTTTAATCAAGGGTTTGGTTGTTATCTACAGATCAAAGTTATGGTAACGCGATGACATGCTTTCATTGCATCTCATAAGTTTTTTCAAGTATACACTGCAAAGAAAACTTATCTAAAGGATATCGGTAGAAGATACCTGTAAAGGAAATCGGCATATTCCTATGACAGTCTTGAAAACCACGACCTGGTTTTTCGAAGATCCTCTAGAAACATGATCTTTGAAACTTTTTCAAAAAATTGTCACCGCTTGTGAAAAGTTCCGCTCAAGTCTTGGCTATCGAACAGCGAAAACCGCAGGTCTCCATCTCATTCCTATTAACAGTTATTCAAGTTATTCAGCAACCACCTGCTTTGTATTTTGGAACAGATAGGAATAACCGTAACGCAAAACCGTTACGGTTACCGCAGTAACGGAGATAACGGTCAACCACCTACTTCTGCGGCGTAGCCGATACTAGGAATGAGAATTAGTTCATGGAGGTATAGACGCATATAGCTAGCAGATAAACATCACGTTCTTCTTTTACTGACCTGTAATGTTGGCTATTTGTAAATCTTTTTGTCTATTTTCTTCAGCTATTTGTCGTTCGAGAGTTCCTTTAATATTAGCTATTTCCATGTCTTTCAAACGATTCTGTTCATTTAGTTGTGTTGCTTGTTCACGTTGATAATCCGCAATCTGAATATCTTTTGCACGATTATCATGAGCAATCTGTCGATCCAGTGCTGCTTTAATATTTGTTATTTGGATATCTTTCTCGCGATTTTCTTCAGCTATTTGTCGTTCGAGGGTTGCTTTGATATTAGCTATTTCGATGTCTTTTAGACGATTTTGTTCAGCTATTTGTCTTTCCAAAGCACCTGTTAAAAAGAAACAAAGAATAAACTTTGGGATAAATCAGAAAACTGTACTCATGTACACTTTTTTCTCGATGCCGTAACGACGCTCTCACATCATTTTACCGAGTTGTTCTAAAGTGCATGATACAGTAGTCTTTGACTCAATGATCCTATATACTGAACAGACAATGTGTGAAAGGGAGGAAAGTAACTAACTAAATAAATGCTAATAATAACAACACAATTTACCATGTCTGTAAAAGGCTTTATGTCTAGTCTTTTTTTAGCAAAAGCACCCGTTCAGTGTTCGAGTTATACGGGCACCAATATCGCTGCTCAGCATCAGAACCATCGTATCTTTCCGGTTTTCTCTTTAGCCCATGGTATTAAGACAGGATATTACGGAGTTTCTCTACAACGTTTTCTTGTTATTGGTGTGACCTGCTAGCGGTCCTGTTCAGAGAAGAGGCTTCAAAACCTTTATTCTACCTATTTAGCTGGAGAGCCACATCATTAAATAGAGTTTTTCACGCTGAACTCGAAAATAGACTTAAAAATTTCTAAAAGTTTAAATCTATAATTTTAATTTCCTCGCCCAGGCATTTTTTTGAGAAATATTCAAAACTATGCTAATGGTTAGAGTTGGAGTAAGTTATGGTTAGAGTAAGTACGGTATTGTTCAATCTGTCTGAAGAAAATAATATGGAACTATCGTAGCCATAAAACAGAAAGAACATATGTGTATATTCTTTTCTGTACTATACTGAACTTAATTGATTTATATATTTAACCGGTATTATGTGATGTTACGAAATTATTTTAATCAGCATCTGTTATTAAACGAAGAATATATACAAGTATGACACTAAATATAAATATTTTATTTATGACAAAAGAGAATTCTTTTTTTTATAGAAATCCAGTTAGACATTTTCCAGAGACAGTCGGTATTCGGTAGCATTAAGTCTAGTCGCCTCAGAAATGAATGGAAGAAGGGGTGAGGGTTAAAATTTCTAAAAATTTTAAATTTTAGTTTCCTCGTCTACACATTTCTTGAGAAACATTCAAAACTATGCTAGTAGTTAGAATTCAATTCTCCAGAAAATGGCTTATTTTTCTCGAAGTTGCGAGGTTCAGAACAGGTTTTAGAGTCGGAAAACCAGTTTTTGTAACTACTTTTTCGATGAGTTAAACAAGTTTGTTAACTTTATTTTAAATTGCATCAAAAGGAGCACATGTGAGACAATATACTACTGTTAAAAATATCTTTTTCTGAATATCTTCGCTTTAGAGTTTAACTTTGTGCAATGAAAGCATACAAAAAAGGATGAAATTCCATCACGTAGGGTATTTTGACATTTTTATTTGACTAAATAATCTATCGAGAAAAGCAGGTAGTTATTATCAGGATATTCGTTTGTCAGTTTTAGAAAATACCTTTTCGGGTATTTGAATTATTTCCTGTAAAACCCTTCGTTTTTCGAAAGGTAGAAAACTCTCTGGGGTTTTAGAAAAGACCTTTCGATTGTGCAAAACTTATTTTGGGTACCCCATTCCGTTTCGGAAAATAATGTTGTCTTGTCTTTTGATTCGAAATACAGAATGATAGGAAGAGGAATATTCGGAAATCCCGTTTCCCATTTGCAGAATGCTTCTCCTTCTTCTGTTTATAACTGCTCTTGCCTTATAACAAACTATTTGTAATTCCTCGCTATATGGAATTTTATTTTAATCTGCTTCCTCTTCGAGAATAATAAAATTTCATTTAGGCCGACAGAATCAGTTGGAAATGACATACTGATTCCACCATGTTTTACCCGGCTTTCTCTTCGGGAACATAATGCAATCAAGGTGAATCCTGCACCTCAGACTTGCTTCGACGTCTGGCCTAAAATAAATACACAGCAGCTTTACTTATAAACACGATCTCCACTTGTCGTAGAAACTATCAAGGGGGAAAAAGCAGCTCCACATACCACCAGGTGCCACCGGGAACCCAATGGAACCGGGCGGAACCGAGTGGAGCCGAGTGGAACCCAATGGAGCCGAGTGGAACCCAATGGAGCTAAGTGGA